AATGACTCTTCATCCAATCCTATACACTACCTGCATGTATCATCTAGTTTACATTTTTGATTAATTGATTCAGTAGAATTCTGGGTCTTGTTCACATCCTCCCACCTTGACGGACTGACTGATTAAGCTACTTTCCCCAGGTCACACAGTTGGCAGACACCAAGATTTAAATCAAATTCCTCTGAATCCAGATTTAAAGATCTCATTCCATTGAACCACACAGCCTCATTTTCCTTCTCGTTTTCTTGCTCCTCACAAATCCCCATGATGGTGAAATCATCTCTAGAAAACCTACTGAATGTCTGGAAATAACCCTGAAACCTGCTGGCAGTGATTTCTGCCCCCAAGATAGCAATTATTTAAGAGTAATAACAACAGCAGCAACAGCAATGGTAGTAATGCTAATAGTAGTGAGTGAATTGATTGTTTTTCTATTATATTAATAATCAATTATTAAATTAGGATCATTCAGGGACCAGCCCCTGTAGGTCAGTCAATTAGTCTCTGAAGGACGAGGCTGATAGATGAGATTGCCCAAATCCTCCGGGAACATGCTCCTTGATTTTGAGTGGAACCCCACCCAGCTAGGAGACTTTACTTCTGTTGAGAGTGTAAACAGAATTTAATCTAGGTGAATTCAAGCCCCAAGTTTAGGGTAACCCAATACATGAAGGAGAAAACCAACCAGAGTGGTCTGGGTAGAGATGGATTCCTTTGTCCAGATTGCTGGAGGTGGCTGAGTCTCATGATCAAGTCATGTTCTCAGCAGGAGGAGCTTTTAGACTTTTAGCCCACCTCCTCATTAATATGCCTACCCCCTCATTAATTGTTCACCAATCAGGGTTGATTTTCACCTGCTAGGGGCAACTCCCCTTTTTTCTAAAATTATATTAAGGCATTCAGTATCTCCATTAGAGGCCTTTGGTTACCGAGAGAAACCACTCACCATCAACTTATTGATTATCAGCCAGTCTAGTTAAAAAATTGATTATTAATTACCCAGAAACTCTATCTCTTTCTCAGGCTTTTCATTCATCTCAGTTGTAACAGCTCCAATTTCTATAGCTTTAAGGTTTATAATCACAATTTTAATACTGATATTTCCATTATATTTTAAGGTTGCAAAACATTTATCTCAAAGCACTCTCCTCATGACAACCCCATGAGGTAGGTAAGCCAGACAAGAACCATTATCCCCATTTCACAAATTAGAGGAGCTGAAGCTTGGAAAGATGAAGCGACTTGCTTGAGGTCACACAGCTAGAATGTGATAGAGACAGATCTCAAACTTTGATCTTCTGACTCCATCTCCATTGTACTTTACATGGGAAGAGCTGGCCCTGTCCCCTATAAACCTGGCGGGAAGTGCAAAGAGAGGGTTTTTCTATAAGGTTGAGAGACCTTCATGGTGAGACCTGAGACTGTGGGAGTCACATGCAGAATAAGTCTTAAGAATAGCACAGGTGACTTGTTGAACAATGAGTACACCCAGAGGTTCTCTCCGTATGGATCAGCTGTCAGAGATCTGGACCCTTGGGAAGGCAAGTGCCACCTGCTGGAAACTGAGACCAGTAGCCGGCTGATGCCTGCTGAGAACAGCGAGAGAGCAGACCAGTAAGAACCAAGCATCATTCCTCCAAGAGGCCAGAGGGGAGTAACAATACTATAGGCCAAACTCTGGCAACCCAGGCTGGTACTCTAGCCCAGGGCAGTGCTATAAGTCAAGGACCGTATTCAAGTGTCCTGGAAGAAAGCTGCTCACTCTCCAGGGTGGGGTAGTGAATGGGAGGTGGGGAAGGGGAGGAAGGTTATATCGACTTAGAGCATGGATGGATGTGAGTCTTGGCAGTTTCTATTAACTTGTAAATAAAGCTATATTGTCAGTCTGTATGTCTATAAAGGAAATTGTGACTATTTATATATTAAAGTTTGGAGATGACATAGAAGGTCAACAAACAACTGATTCTTGGTGACCCTATTTGGGATTTTTTTGGAAAAGATACTGGAGTGGTTTGCCATTTCCATCCCTAATTCATTTTACAGATAAGGAAACTGAGGCAAACAAGGCCCTCCTGAGGGAACTTTTGACAAAGTAGTCATGCATACAGTCTTTTTTTTTCTGATTCCAATCTTAACTATAAGGCATTTGGAGGGAGAACAGTAGCCCCTTAGAGGTGTCCCCTTAGAGACACACCCAGAATGCAGACCCTCACATAGATGTAAAGAAGAGCACACAAATTTCCAAAATGTCTGAATTCCAGGAAACTTTTATTTTCTTGTTTGGTTTTATTTCTGGTTTTTTAAAGATTTTAAAAAGAAAGAGGGGGGAAAAAAGAATTCAGCAAAACCAAACCAACACATCAGCTGTTTCTGAGAGTATACGTAGTATTCCACACCCATGGTCTCCCACCTGAGTAATGAAGGGAGGGAGTTGCATTTTCTCAGCTCTTCTCTGGGGCCATGCTTAATTATTATAACTATTTACAAAGAATTCAGTTTCATTTTATTGGAATTTCCATTTTCATGATAGAAGATCCCCCTGTAAAGTTAAGGGTCATTCTATGATCATGAAGACAGGGCTGGAAGGTACCTCAGAGGCCAAGCCCTCATTTTCTACGTGAGGAAATTGTGGCCCAGAAAACAAAAGTGAAGCTCAAAGTCATATAAGCTTTCTGGCAGAGCCAGAATATAGGAGAGGATAATACAAAGAGTACTTTAAAAGAAATCCCTACCCCCAGAAGAGCAGAACTGTTTTCCCTTATTCAATATATGACACCCCACCTACCCAGTTTCCCTCATAGGCGTACAGACTGACAACATAGACAGCTTTATTTACAAATTAATAGAAACTTATAAGATTCACAAAATATCCAAATCTAGGTCTTTGCATATGTAATTTGCTCAGCAGATAGACCTTACCTGGACCGAAAGATTCCACCCTTAACCCTGGGCCTCAGAAAGGATAATAATAGATATTAACTGGCCAGAAGGAAAAAATTTGTAATCCATGCTATAGCAACAGGCTGAAAGAGAAACAAATAGCAGGATATGACTATTTGAAAAACTGATTTTGTTTTGTCCCAATAGATGAAATGAAATCACATTCCTGAGACTGGAAACTACTCATACTGGAAGTAGCCACAACTTCATGATGTCACTCAGAAAAAAAATCTTACATTGTAGGATTTCTGGGTTTTCAGTATTTGCAGAGCATGGATATTTTAGGGAACTATCTTATATAAGGAAATCATTAAGCGTAAGGGTACAGGCATGGTCAGGCCTGAGTCCAGCAGCACAGTTGAGCCAAGTAGTCTTTTCTTCCAGGAAGGAGAAATTAAATGAACATTTAAAAAAATATATTCTTATTTATTTCTTTAAATATTTCCCAATTACATATTTTTTTTAAACATTTTGAGTTCCTAATTCTCTTCCTCCTTCTCACCCGTTCCCCACCCCTTGAGACGGCAAGCAATACGATATTGATTATAATTGGGAAGTCAAATAACATGAACATTTTGAAAAAATCCTTGATGGCTTTCAAAGGTACAGGCCTATCCTCTGTACACCTAGACATGCTTATTAATGAATCATATGATATGTTATATAAATTAATATGTCATAAAATAATTATATATTATATAATGCTTATTATGCTTATTAATTAACAAGGCTCTCTGTGCTCCCTATTACACAGGGCTTTCCAAATCTGACTGTGTTTACCTCTCACCATTCTAAACTAACATCAAATGAATGATTGAATGAATGAACACGTGAGTGAGAATTTAATAGGCCCTTACTATATTCCAGGCCTTGTGGTAAGCACTGATGATACAAATATTTTTTAAAAAGAACATTTTCTGCCCTAAAGCTTACTTTCTAATAAGGGAAGACAACACATAAAAGAGAGTGATGAAAAGGGAAGGGTCTTCAGTTACGTCTTGTTACTATTATTACCTATGCTAATTGTAGTAACTTATATTTCTATAGCATTTTCCAGTTTGCAAAGCACTTTCCTCGCAACAGCCCTACGAGATGAGGCAGAACAGGGATTTTTATGCCCATTTTACAAATGAGGAAACTGAGTCCCAGGGAGGTGAAGTCGTATGACCTAAGTCACAGAGAGCAAAAATTCAAGTCTCCTGATTTCAAGTCCAGCATTCTCACCACTATGCCATGTTGTCTATTTCCATGCTTTAATTCCTGACCCCCTTATTTCCTCTCTTCCCCCATATCTGTGTTCTATTTTCCCACCTCAGTTATGAGCTCCTTAGCATCAGGGACTGGGTCTCATGGAGAGACAGCATGGTGTAGGAAATATCCCCAGAGTGGGTCAGTACATTTGGGTTTGGATCCTGGTTCAGTCACTACTTAAATGACTTTGGGTAAGTACCTTTCACTCTCTGAGCCTCAGTTTCTTCATTTGAAAAATAATGGAGTTTAAAATGGATTATCTTTTTTAGCTCTAAATCTTAGTATCCTAGCATATTGAGGCCAGTTACATTTTTCCCTCAGGGTCCTGGAGGTACACTGCGGGGGTTAATGTGTCTTTCTCTACTGTTCTGGATTCAAACTTCCATTCCGATTTGCTCCCCAGGCGCCACTGTTAGCTACCAGAGATTAGCACCCCAGTTAAATTTAACCAATTAACATCGATTAGCTTTTACAAAGGGTTATTTACTTTGAAGATACATTAAGAACAGAAGTGAAAAAACAGAAGTGAAACATTTCCTCCCAGCATCTTGGTGGGGCACACCCTCTCCCATGCCACTTTGGTCCCTGGAGAGAGTGGGTATGTACATAACACAGTTTCTACATTGCATTGACTCCCCACCCCCAGCCCCCCGCAACACACACACACATACTAAGGTCAAGCCTGGTCAACGGTGTGCTGGAGTGCTCATTAAAGCCAAATGTTAAATTTTCAATGTGAGTATTTATATATCAGAAATCAACAAATGCTACAAATCAAGGCTTAATTTATTATTTTATTGATTGTCTAAACTTAAGAAAATGATGATGTTAATACAGATTAAACATGAATCTATCATGCATGCATTTTCCCCCCCAGAGAGCAGGTTGTTAAACATTTACCATTATATTCCTGTATCTAGTCCAAATGCAGAATCACTTCTGGATGAACCATTGTCTCAACTACTAGTGGGCTGGGTCCTGGAGGTCATTCCTCATTCCTCTGGGCCTCAGTGCTAGACTGGATGGCTATAAACTCTAGCTAATCATCTATTCCCAGATCTGCTGGTTGTTTTTTCTCCTGACCTTTCGAAACTCACAAGGCTATATACTCCAATCTCCTTCACCTAAAATGAAAGAACAAAAATCCCAAGGCAAAGAACCAAAGTCCGTATTCATCTTGGCTTCTGACAGGGAGAGCTGGGCTCTCCCCTTACATCATTGTCTCAATTCTCTCACTGGAACAATGACAAGCAGAAAAAGGTCACCCCAAGAGAAGAAGGAGGTTCTGGTCATCTAGTGCCTTTTGGATGCATCTTTAGCTGTGGCCACAGAGCCATAGCCAATCACAGAAGCTCCTGTTCAACACATGGTTAGAGGTCTGGAATGAGTAACGGAATGTCTACCAATGTTCCAAAGTCCGTGTGGGAATTGCATCAGCTGAGCACTCTGCACAGACTTGTAAGGATTGGGCTCATTGGCCAGTCCCTCATTACACTCACCATGAACTCTAGCTTCAGGCTTCATGCCTGCTCAGGGTAAGAGGAGCCAATCCTGTTACATTAGTAATAGGTTAAACCTAAGAGACCTGATCAAGGGCAGACAGATGGTAAGTGGCAAACTCAGGCCTCCTGAACCCCAATTCAGTGCTCTTATACCACACATCGATGCCATCACCTAGTACTCTGTATGTAACTCTCTGATGATTCACTTATCTAGTATTGTGTATTGTAATTGTGGCTCTTACCTTACTTCCTCCACACAGGGTGGGTTTCTATGGGTATAGGTTAGCATCCTTTGAGAAGTGAAATTCAGAAGACCCTAACAATGTATTTACTTTTACCAAGTTAGCCACAAATGATAGATTAGATTAAAGCAAAGGATTTAATTTACTAACATAGCAAGATAGGTGACGTGGAAAATATTCCTGTGCACGTGGGTCACATTCACAAGTTTCCATAAAAGCAATGGGTAAAGGGCCTCATACAGAGGACACACTTGATCAGAAAATATATGTGAAGGGGAACACGCTTGTCAAATACACATGTGTTCAGGTCACATACAGCTGCAAGGCACCCATATTGCTGGAGATGACATGTATCATCTCTGATCACATGTATGGTGATGTCATTGCTGCTCTCTGCTGTGCATCATGCTTCATCAGTGGACCATGGACATCTCTGTTCTTTAGTGAAGGTCTTGACTGAGTAATAGCACCGTTGTCACTTTCCAATGATCAGCTCTACCTAATAACCACCCTTGTAATAAAGAAATATTGTTTAGTTGTTTCAGTGGTGATCAACTCTTTGTGACTCCATTTTGAGTTTTCTTGGCAAAGATACTGGAGTGGTTTGCCATTTCCTTCTCCAGCTCATTTTACAGATGAGGAATTGAGGCAAACAGGATTAAATGACTCACCCAGGGTAACAGCTAATAAATGTCTGAGGCCAGATTTGAACTCATGAAGATGAGTCTTCCTGACTTCAGGCCTGGCACTCAATCCACTGAACCTCCTCACATCCTCCAGTAAAGAAACAGAGTTAAGCAAAATAAAATTTTGAACTCTTTTTTCTTAGTGTTGAATCAAGGTCCTTGGCCCAACATGTATATCTGATAGGGTTAGAAAAGTCCTTTTTTTTTTTTTGGCAAGGCAATTGGGGTTAAGTGACTTACCAAAAATGGCATAATGGATAGACAAGTTGCTGAGCTTTGAGTCAGAAAGACCTGAGTTCAAATCCTGTCTCCCATACTCACCAGCTATGTGACCCAGAGCAAGTCATTTAATCTCCCTCAGCCTCATTTTCCTATAAAATGGGATAATAAAACTACCTACTTCGAAGTGTTGTTGTGATGGCTAAATGAGATTATATATGGTAAGTGCTCTGCAGCCCTTAAAGCATTATATAAATATTAACTACTATTATTATTATCTTCCTTACTGCTATTTACTTACTCCATGCTTTTCAGCAACCACAATGCTGACTTCAGGGGGATCAATTCCAATAAGCTCTCCCTTCATCTGTTTATGTGTTGTTCCAGCTCTGTTCCTTATTGCCTGTATAACTTTGTATGGTACAGTATCTACTAGGGTCCCTGCCATATAGGCTAGACTAGCTTTTCTAAGACCCCAGCCAGGCTGGGCTAGTTCTTCCTTTGAAACAATTGGAACTTTCCTCCTAAAGTTTTGACTTGTTCATGGCATTAAGGCTCAAACTACTGATGTAGCTTCCCAATGGCCTAAGTACAAAAGTCATTGTTTGAGAGGCTCGGCTCCGTCAGGCTTGAGAGGTACCCAAGACAATGTAGAGTCAGGGAAGCTGTGCTCTGGTGAGTCAATGCTCTATCCTTGCTGAAGAGTCTTTCCATGCCATAGTTAGATAAATCTTTTTTAACTGCTGGATGGTCCACATCTGGCTCATTTCACTTCAGTCCTGACCCTAAACCACTAGAAGGGCCTGAGTTAATCCTGGCCTACAAGATACTTAACCTCTCAATTTCCTCATCAGTTGAATGAAGAAATTGGACTCAATGACTTCTAAGGTCCTTCTCAGTTCTAAAATTCTAAAGAATCTACAATCCTATGATCCCTTCTGCCTTAATATACAAGCACCTGTTAGATGCTGTCTCTAGGGGGATGTAATAGATATACAGAGCTTTCAGACAGTCCCTGACACAACCAACAAACATTAAGAGATGCTATTCTGGAAAAGCCACATATTTCCACACTTTGTTCTTTCCCTAACTTGATTTTTTTCTATTCTCTCCTCCAAATGTTGTTTTATGTATGAGGGAAATAACTCTCCAGTTGACAGTGGGAAACTCAGCAGATGTGATTGCTAAGTTACTGTCAGTGATATTTGAAAGATCTTGTAGAATGGGAGAGGGACCACAGAAGTAGAGAAGGACAACTGTCATCCTAGTTTTCAAAAAAAGAATTGAGTTCAGTCAACGAGTATTTACTAAGTGCTTACCATGTCGCAGGCATCATGTCAAGCACTGAGGATACCAAGAAAGGCAAAAAATAATCCCTGCCCTCAAGGACCTCACTTTTTGAACAAGGAAGACAACATGAAAATAACTACATACATACAAAATATAAGCAAGGTAAAGTGGAGGTAATCTCAAAAGGAAGGTACCAGTACTGCTAAAGGCTTCTTACAGAAGGTGGGAATTTAGCTGAGGCTTGAAGGAAATCAGGAAGCCAGAAGGTAGAAGTGAGGAGGGAGAGTATTCCTGGCATGGGAGTCAGCCAAAGAAAATGCATAGAACTGGAGATAGAGTAATCTGTGCAAAGATAAGCAAGCTTTACTCAGGTGGCCAGCAAAATTCTAGAAAGGATTCATAAAGAGATGGGCAATGAAAATCAAGAAATGGAAGCATTGGTTTCAAAGAGTCAACATGGCTTCATTAAGAACAAGTTATGGCAGAGCCAAGATGTGAGAGTAAAGGCAAGGATTTGCTTCAGTTCTCCTGAATTCCTCTCCAAACAACTTTAAAATAACACATCAAAACAAATTCTGGAGTGGCAGAACCAATAAAAGGACAGAATGAAACAATTTTATGACTTCAAAGGTTGACAGGAAAGGTCTGTCTCACTGGGGTGAGAGTGGAGCACAGTCCAATGCAGACTATGTCCTAGCAAGCCAGCAACAGACCTCGGGGGTGACTGAATCAGCAGAAGCAGTTACCAGACCTCTCAGCCCACAGACAGTAAGGGGGTCACAATCCCAGGGCAAGAAAGAGCACTAGCACACTAGAGTGAACTGCTTCAAGAGAGTAGGGACCCTCGTTACAGTTCCAGGGCAGATGAGTGCTTGCAGTCACTCACAGACCAGAGCACAGTAGTAAACATCCTTCTCCTTAGATCATACCACCCTGGAAAAACTAAAAACTTATAGACCCCTCAGAACTAGCTCTAAAAACAGATGCACAAAAAACCTGAAGCATGGGACAGTGCCCCCTCTACCACAGGAGCTGAGCCCAACTTTAACATACAGTGAAAAGTCAAAAAATAGGCTGGAAAAATGAACAAATAATGAAAAAATAATCTGACCATAGGAAGTTACTATGATGATAGGAAGAATCAACAGCCTGGTAAAGGAGGCACCAAAAAATACAAAAGAAAATAATGACTTAAAAAACAGAATAGGCCAAAGGAAAAAGATGTACAAAAATTCACTGAAGAGAAAAACCCCTTAAAAAGCGGAATTGGCCAAATGGAAAAAGAGATATAAAAGTTCAATGAAGAAAATAATTACTTAAAAATTAAAATTGAGCAAGTAGAAACTAATGATTCCATGAGACATCAAAAAAACAATAAAACAAAATCAAAAGAACTTTTAAAAAAAAGAATAAGAAAATGTGAAATCTCGCACTGGAACTGACTTGGAAAACAGATTGAGGAGAGCTAATTTAAGAATTGTTGGACTCCCTGAAAGACATGATCAAAAAAAGAACCTAGACATTGTATTTCAAAAAACTATCAAGGAAAACTGCTTTGATATCCTAGAACCAGAGGGTAAAATAGAAATTGAAAGAATCCACTGCTCATCTCTGGAAAGAGATCCCAAAATGAAAACTCCCAGGAATATTAAAACCAAATTCCAGAGCTCCCAGGTCAAGATGAAAATACTACAAGCAGCCAGAAACAATTAAAATATCATGGAGCCACAGTCAGGATAACACAAGATTTAGCAGCTTCTACATTAAAGGACTGGAGAGCTTGGAATATGATATTCCAGGAGGCAAAGGAGCTAGGATTACAACCAAGATTCATCTACACAGCAAAACTGAGTATAATCCTTCAGGGGGGAAATTTTTAATAAAATAAAGGACTTTCAAGCATTCTTGTTGAAAAGTTCAGAGCTGAATTTGGTTTTCAAATAAAATATTTAAGAGAAGAATAAAATAGTAAACAAGAAAGAGAAATCTTGAGGGATTCAATAAAGTTAAACTGTTTACATTTGTAACTCCTAAGAACTTTATCATTATTAGGGCAGTTAAAAGGAGTATACATAGACAAAGGTCTCGAGTATAAGTTGACTATGATGGTGTGATATTTAAAAAAAAAAGGGATGAGAAAGAGGGATGACCATGAGGGGATGATAACTTAAAAAATCAGATTAAGGAGTGAGGAAGAGGGATGAATTGGAAGAATGGAGAAGGGAGAGGTAGAGTAGGGTCAATTATCTCACATAAAAAGGCATGAAAAAGCTTTTACAGAGGAGGGGGAAATAGGGAGGTAGGGGACAATGCTTGAACTTACTCTCCTCAGAATAAGTTCAAAGAGGGAATAACACACTCTCAGTTGGGTATAGAAATCTATCTTACTCTACAGGGATGTAGGAGAGGGTGGGTATAAGAGAAGGTGGGGACTGATAGAAGGGAATGCGTTTTGGGGGAGGCAGCGGTCAGAAACAAAACACTTGAGAAGGGACAGGGTGAAAGGAGAGAGAGAGAGAAGGATAAATAGGTGGAAAATAGAATGGGGGGAAATACACAGTAATCATAGTGTGAAAAAAAATTTACAGCAAGTTTCTCTGATAAAAGCCTTATTTTATAGAAAATTGAGTCAAATTTATGAGAACAAAGTCATCCCAATTGATAAATGGTCCAAGGATGTAAAGAGGCTGTTTTCAGAAGAAGAAATAAAAGCTATCTATTGTCTTATGAAAAAAATGTTCGAAATCACTATTGATTAGAGAAATTGCAAATTAAGACAACTCTGAGGTACCACCTCACACCTATCAGATTGGCTAATATGACAGAAAAGGAAGATGACAAATGTTGGAGGAGATATGGGAAAATTGGGACACTAAAGCACAGTTGGTAGAATTGTGAACTAATCCAACCTTTCTGGAGAACAATTTGGAACTGTATCCAAAGGGCTATATAAAATCATGCACACCCTTTGATCCAGCAGTACCACTACTAGGTCTGTGTCCCAAAGAAAGAAAAAAGGAAAAACACTTATATGTACAAAAATATTTATAACATCTCTTTTTGTGGTGGCAAAGAATTGGAAACAGAGGGGATGCCCATTAGTTGGAGAAATGCACAAACAAGTTATGGTATATGATTGTGATGGAATACTATTGTGCTATTAGAACTGATGAGCAGGCAGACTTCAGAAAAACCTAGAAAGACTTACATGAACTGTTGCAGAGTGAAGTGAGCAGAACCAGGAGAACATTGTACACATTAACAGTAATATTGTATGATGGTTAATTGTTAATGACTTAGTTATTCTTGGGAATAT